TGTATTTGTTTTACATAATGGTAGGATAGCTGGTGTCTTTTTTCTGTCTCATAAACATGCAAGATTTCAGGTACGTCTTGCTATTTCTTACACTTAGGTCACACTACACATACATGTATGAGCATGTATATACACACCCCTCTGGGTTTTCTTCTATTTTCTTTCTAGTTCTTGTTCTTATTTATTTCCTCTTATCTCCATGGGGAAGTGGAACAGAATTCTTCCTCCGTAAGGCATGCATGTTGTAAGAGGCGACTAAAATGCTGGGAGCAAGGGGCTAGTAACCCCTTCTCCTGTACAAATTACTAAATTTAAAAAGAAAAACTTTCATTTTTCTTTTTGGGCCACCCTGCCTTGGTGGGATACGGCTGGTTTGTTGAAAGAAGAAATCTAAATGAACAATATTTAGATAAGGGTAAAGAGGTTTTTGTGGCATTTATGGATTTGGATAAGGTGTATGACAGGTTGGAAAGGGTGGCAATGTGGCAGATGTTGCAAATGTATGGAATAGGAGGTAGATTATTGAAAGCGGTGAAAAGTTTTTACGAGGGTAGTGAGGTTCAGGTTAGAGTATGTAGGAGACAGGAAGATTATTTCCCAGCAAAAATAGGCCTCGGACAAGGATGTGTGATGTCACCGTGGTTGTTCAATATATTTATAGATGGGGTAGTAAGAGAAGTGAATGCTTGGGTGTTAGCAAGAGGTGTGGGGTTAAAAGATAAAGAATCAAACACAAAGTGGGAGTTGTCACAGTTGATCTTTGCTCATGACACTGCTTTTAGGAGATTCTGAAGAGAAGTTGCAGAGGTTGGTGGATGAGTTTGGTAGGGTATGTAAAAAGAAGAAAATTAAAAGTGAATATAGGAAAGAGTAAGGTTATGAGGATAACAAAAAAATTAGGTAATGAAAGATTGGATATCAGATTGGAGGGAGAGAGTATGGAGGAGTTGAATGTATTCAGATATTTATTAGTGGACATATCAGCATGTGGGTTTATGAAAGATGAGGTGAATCACAGAACTGACGAGTGGAAAAAAGTGAGTGGTGCACTGAGGAATCTGTGAAAACAAAACTTTGTCCATGGAAGCAAAGAGGGGAATGTATGAGAGTATAGTTATACCAACGCTCTTATACGGGTGCGAAGCATCGGTGGTAAATGTTGCAACAAGAAGAAGGCTGGAGGCAGTGGAGATGTCATGTCTGAGGGCAATGTGTGGTGTGAATATAATGCAGAGAATCCATAGTTTGGAAATTAGTAAAAGATGCAGGATTACCAAAACTATTACCCAGACTGCTGAGGAGGGGTTGTTAAGGTGATTCGGACATGTAGAGAGAATGGAACAAAGTAGAATGACTTCGAGAGTGTATAAATCTGTAGTGGAGGGAAGGGGGGGTAGAGGTCGGTGTAGGAAAGGTTGGAGGGAGGGGGTAAAGGAGGTTTTGTGTGTGAGGGGATTGGACTTCCAGCAAGCATGTGTGAGCATGTTAGATAGGAGCGAATGGAGACAAATGTTTTGTAGGACTTGATGTGCTGTTGGAGTGTGAGCAAGGTAACATTTATGAAGGGATTCAGGGAAACCAGCAGGCCGGACTTGAGTCCTGGAGATGGGAAGTACAGTGCTTGCACTCTCAAGGAGGGGTGTTAATGTTACAGTTTTATAACTAGTGTCAGCACACCTCTGGCAAGATAGTGATGGAGTGAATGATGGTGAAAGTTTTTCTTTTTTGGGCCACCCTGCCTTGGTGGGAAATGGCCAATGTGTTAATAAAAATAAAATACTATTTACTGAGCCATGCATCAAGCAAAGTCTAGTTTTTCTAACTAGTACAATAGTTAGCTAAATAATCCCCACCAGCACATCTACAAACTGCAAACAGCAATGATTACTCATTAATTGCAACTTAATCCTTTCGCTGTCCGTCACGTAGAACTACATCACTGAGGCCAGGGTCCCTGACATAGTTCCACGTCATGGGATCAGTTCACTCAAACAAGTTATGAGTAGTAAATTTTGGCCTAGATATGAGAGAATGGGTCTGTGCTATTAGTATGCACTGAATTAAAGAAATCCTGCCCCATAAGGTGCATGATGAGAAAAACAAAACTGTGACTGTGTGAGTAGTTTAAAATAGCATCTCTGTGGTGTTTTCTCTGATGGCTTTTATTGACTTATTGGCTGTTTCTTAGTATTATATGATGGAATGGAATACATCCTACTGAAATAGTGATGATTTTGATTGGTTACAGGACTGGAAGTAGCTTGAAACTGTGCTCAAAATAGCCGATATTACAGAGGATGCGTAAGGCCCCCTGCAACCTCCAGTCTGTTTTATGGGTTTTACTGGGACATTGTAAACCATGACCAATATTTCCTGGTTTTATTATCCGTGAAATAGAGTAAATTTTCTATTTCTGTGTGAACAAGAATTCAAAATGAAAGGCAAGTGCAATATAGAAGCCTGCAGACAGGACTAATGAACAGAGGAAATGTTGTCTACATTATTTATTATGGACTCTACTTTTTAAGCTGGTATTTTTTAATTTTGTGTAAAACTGGCAAAGTTGCCAAATTCTGATCACCTATTACGTTAGTTGAAATAATTTAATGAGCAGTTTCTTGTGCTCAATCAATTGAATGGAAGGCATACTAGTAAAATAACTAAGAATTTGGTTGACTGGAACAATGAAGTTACCTTAAAATAGGACTCAAAAACAGTGAAATCGCTGATGCATAAATTGTGTCAAGCCCGCTAATTTGCACCTGTACAAATCTATAAGTTTTCCATCAAATTTTGTACTTTTGGTATCATTACCTTTGGAGAAAGATTCTCTACCATTTAAGGAGAATTTTTTTGGATTGTTGAAAATTTTTGGAAACCAAGAGCAAGTTTCACTTCGAGGGTCTGAACAATGAAAGGGTTAAGAAAGCAATACATGCTAAATAAGAGAATAATAAAACTAATTTTAAAAGGAACTTCCATCATATTTCAGTCACATATCATGTGTAGTGGTCCTATGAGTTACTGTTTCCTGTGGCCTGGTAGTTAACACTCTCACCTCACAAAGTGAGTATCTGTGGTTCAATCCCTGGTCAGGTGGAAACATTGCATGTGCTTCCTTACACCTGCTGTCCCTGTTCACCTAGCAAGTAGGTACCTGGGTGTTAAGTCGACAGCTGTGGGTCGCATCCTGGGGGACAAGATTGAAGGACTCCAATGGAAATAAGACAGACAGCCCTTGATGACGCATTGACTTTCTTGGGTTATCCTGGGTGGCTAACCCTCCGGGGCCAAAAATTAAAGAAAATCTTATCCATTCCAGAAGACATATCGTATCTCAAAACTATCGTAACTGAAACCCTATAATACAGGGTTTTATGGTAATTTGTTCTAAAGAGCCAGAAGAACCCAACCTGCCCTTAGATACCTTTCTTTGTTGTTTCAACACTCGTGTTTTCTGAGTGATAAGCAAACAGGCTGCAACTTGAAATATTCAGAGGCACTGGCACCAAACAACTGAGTGAGTGTATCTTTCATAGGCTAATGCCCAGGCAAAGTGGCAAGATAGGGCAGAGTAGGCAGGACTGGGCAAAGTAGGCAGACAGGGAGGCTGGCTGGCAGGCAGGCAGGGAAGCTGGCAGGGAAGCTGGCAGGCAGGCAGGCAGGCAGGCAGGCAGGAAGGGAGGCTGGCAGGCAGGGAGGTGGCAGTCAGACAGGGAGGCAGCAGTCAGGCTGGTCAGCAGGCAGGCAGGCAGAGAAGGAGGCTGGCAGGCAGGGAGGTGGCAGGCAGGCAGGCTGGCAAGCAGGTAGGTAGGCAGGCAGGCAGGCAGGCACACAGGGAGGGAGGGAGGGAGGGAGGGAGGGAGGGGAGGGGGAGAGGGAGAGAGGGGAGGAGGGAGGGAGGGGAGAGGAGGGGAGAGGAGGGGAGAGGAGGGGAGAGGAGGGGAGAGGAGGGAGAGGAGGGGAGAGGAGGGGAGGGAGGAGGAGAGGGGAGGGAGGGGAGGGGAGGGGAGGGGAGGGGAGGGGAGGGGAGGGGAGGGGAGGGAGGGAAGGGGAGGGAGGGAAGGGGAGGGGAGGGAGGGAGGGTGGGAGGGGATGGGAGGGGAGGGAGGGAGGGAGGGAGGGAGGGAGGGAGGGAGGGGAGGGAGGGAGGGGAGGGAGGGAGGGAGGGGAGGGAGGGAGGGAGGGGAGGGAGGGAGGGAGGAGGGAGGGGGAGGGGAGGGGGGGGGGAGGGGAGGGAGGAGGGGAGGGGAGGGAGGGGGGGGGGGAGGGGAGGGGGGAGGGGAGGGGGAGGGGAGGGGAGGGGAGGGAGGGAGGGAGGGAGGGAGGGAGGGAGGCAGGCAGGCAGGCAGGCAGGCAGGCAGGCAGGCAGGCAGGCAGGCAGGCAGGCAGGCAGGCAGGCAGGCAGGCAGGCAGGCAGGCAGGGAGGCAGGCAGGCAGGAAAGCAAACAGCTAGGCAGGCAGGTAGGCAGGCAGGCAGATAGGTGGGAAGGCAGGCAGGAAGGCAGGCATGTGGGCTGGTGGGTAGGCAGGCAGGAAGGCAGACTGGTAAAGAATTGTGTACTTAATATTAATATACTAGTTATCACTGACTCCCATTGCCACCATGTCTGGTACATTTATGGTCTCCCTCCCTCCCTTTCCACTATCTCACTCCCATTTATCTCCAACACACCCCCCACCATCACTCCATATAAGAGCTTTTCATAACCCTGGCTTGTCCCTGGGTTGAGGCCCACCCATGCCTGCTGCTGACCATAACACATGTATTGCAACTCAAAATTTCTGCTGCAGCTCAAAACTAAATTTCTTTAGAAGCATTATTATTATTATAATCAAAAAGAAGCGCTAAGCCACAAGGGCTATACAGCGTCTTTAGAAGCATAAATCGCAACTTAAGCCCATCGTAACTCAAGGGACCACTGTATAAGTCACTTGCAATATAGCAGTACTGTGTTGGCAAGCAGTACATAGCAACTGAGGGATCTAAAGCACTCTACCATGCGGAGGGGTGAGGGAGCCATGCAGGGAGTACGAAGCATTTCCAGGAGAACCTTGTCTGCGTGATGACACGTGTCCTGTGATTGCCTTCTGCAGCATCCGGTTTGCTCTGAAGAAGATGAATCTGCATAGTTTGACTATTTTCTTTCTAGAGGACAAAAGATTAGTGAAATACACTTAGAGTTGTGACTCTCCAACACTAGTGTTGTGACTCTCCAACACTAGTGTCGTGACTCTCCAACACTAATGTTATGACTCTCCAACACTAGTGTTGTGACCCTACAACACTAGTGTTGTGACTCTTCAGCAATAGTATTGTGACCCTTCAACACTAGTGTTGTGACCCTCCAGCACTAGTGAGATTATATTGCCAGTATTATAACAATAATGAACAATTCTGTAACCAATATTCTTTTAGTTGTTTCCTAATTGAATGACCTAGGAAAGTTTGGCCTAGATTTCCAAATTCTGTCAAACTGAGGGTTAATAATAATAAAAAAAAATAACAATAATTTCTACTTTTTCTTTTTGGTAGGCTATACGGGAAAAGGGGTTACTAGCCCATTGCTCCTGGCATTTTAGTTGACTTTTACAACATGCATGGCTTACAGAGGAAAGATTCTTATTCCACTTCCCCATGGTTGTAAAAGGAAAACTAATAAGAACAACAACTATTAAGATAAAATCAAACAAAACTCAGATGAGTGTGAATACATAAACGTGTACATGCATGTGTAGTGTGACCTAAGTGTAAGTAGAAGTAACAAGACGTACCTGCAATCTTGCATGTTTGTGAGACAGAAAAAAAGACACCACCAATGATGCCATCACGTAAAACAAATACAGGCTTCCATTTCACACTCACTTGGCAATATGGTAGTACCTCCCTGGGCGGTTGCTGTCTACTAACCTATTACCACCCCGCCTTGGTGGGAAACGGCTGACGTGTTAAAAAAATAATACAATGGAACCTCAAATTTTGAACGTATCACTTATCAAACTCTTCAAAAATAGAACCCTTTTTTCGAACCAACTTTGTCCCTATTATCGAACTCGCCCCTATTTTCTAACCGCCAAATACCGGGCCTGTCTGGCAGCCCACACTGTCTGCGTCCCCACGCAGGCGCCGTGAGCCAGTCTGGTTTTGTTGATGCTTGAGTGAACACTAACTTGCGCTCTCATTCAAACATTTTACAATTATTTCATTGTGTTTAGTACTTGTGGGACTGTGAAATAAGCTACAATGGGCCCAAAGAAACTTGCTAGTGGTACCCCTGTGGTAAAGAAAGTGAGAAACACCATAGATGTGAAGGAAATAATACAGAAGTGGAATGATGTCCAAATGTTTGTGGAGAAGTACCACCCTGAGAAAGCTGAAACAAGCCATCTTTGCAACAAGTTCAGTGACAGAACCATGTCCCATTTTAGGGAAATCTTAAAGAGGCACCAGAAACAGAGGACTGTGGACAGTTATTTTGTGAGACAGGGGTCCAGTGACTCTCAAGCTGGTCCTAGTGGCATTAAAAGACAGAGAAGGGAAGTAACCCCAGAAAGGGCTTTGATACCTAACGTCCTTATGGAGGGGGATTCCCCTTCCAAACACTAACCCCAACTCCCTCTCTCCTCCTCCCTATCTTCCAGATGCCATCACCAATCTTCAATAAAGGTAAGTAAAATGTTATTTTATATTTTTATTTAAATTTATTAATACATAACTGAACACTATATTTGTTGTGTGTATGTAAAATTATAATTAATCTCTATAAATGTATTTTTTTTTTTTGTGAATATTTTTGGGTTTCTGGAACAGATTAATTGTATTTCCATTATTTCTTATGGGGAAATATAACTTCGCTTTTCAGACTTTTCGAATTTAGAACTAACTCCTGGAATGGATTAAGTTCGATATTTGAGGTTCCACTGTAATAAAATAATAATAATAATAATAATACAGTGGACCCCCGGTTAACGATTTTAATCCGTGCAAGAGGGGTAATTGTTATGCGAAATAATCGTTATGTGAATGAATTTTCCCCATAAGAAATAATGGAAATAAAATTAATCCGTGCAAGACACCCAAAAGTATGAAAAAAAAATTTTTTTACCACATGAAATGTTAATTTTAATACACACAAACTGAAAAAGGCATGCACACTTACATGACACTTACTTTTATTGAAGATCTGGTGATGATTGATGGGATGGGAGGAGGGGAGAGCATTATCTTCTTACTGTTTAGAAGGGGAATCCCCTTCCATTAGGACTTGAGGTAGCAAGTCCTTTTCCGGGGTTACTTCCCTTCTTCTTTTAATGCCACTAGGACCAGCTTGAGAGTCACTGGACCTCTGTCGCACAACAAATCTGTCCATAGAGCTCTGTACCTCCCGTTCCTTTACGATTTGTCTAAAATGGGCCACAACATTGTCATTGAAATAGTCACCAGCACGGCTTGCAACAGCTGTGTCAGGGTGATTTTCATCCATAAAGGTTTGCAGTTCAACCCACTGTGCACACATTTCCTTAATTTTTGAAGTAGGCACAATGGATTCCACAACTGGCATAGGCTTCTCAGGGTTAGCCCCAAACCCTTCAAAATCTTTCTTAATTTCCATACTAATTCTCACCCTTTTTACCACAGGGTTGGCACTAGAAGCTTTCTTGGGGCCCATGGTCACTTATTTTCCAGAAACAGCACCGAAAACACTGTAATAATACGAAATATTCCGATTGTATGCTTGGATGTTACCGCGGAGGCTGGCTGGTAAACAATGCCACCGGCGGAACATGTGAGCGCGTCTCGGAAGAAAATCGGTAAGCGGGTTTTTAAGCGGTATGTGAGGCAAAATTTTTGCAATTAAAGTAAGCGGTATGCGAAATAATCGCTATGTGATGCCATCGTTATGCGGGGGTCCACTGTAATAATAATAATAATAATAATAATAATAATAATAATAATAAAGCATATACCAGAATATAAATCCATGGATAGGACGACCCCTGATAACTTGCCAAAAAAAAAATCCTCAATTTTTTATAGAGTATCTAGTGTCTGAGCATATTTAAAATGGGTCAAATAGTTCCAATTCAAAATGTATTCTAGCCCAAACTCAGGTAAAAAATGAAATGTGACAGCTGATAAACAAAAATAAAGGAGCTCTGCAGTAGAGTTATTGGCCTGTGCTAGGCAGGTCCTCCTGATACCTAACCATTATAAGACACTTGCTCTTCATGGTACTCTACCTTGACAAAAAACCGAAAGATAGATTGCAGATCACCCAGAACAAAATGGTAAGATTCATCCCTGACCTGTGTCCAAGATAGGGTGTAGGGAAGGATGAATTACAACAATTGGATATGCTGAATGTTGAAGATAAGAGTAAAACAGCTGAAGTTAAATCAAGTTTAAAAAATTGCTCACAAACAGTGTCCAGAATATCTTGCTGCCAATTTTGTCAAGGCTGGGAATCAAAGCAATCATTGTACTAGGGGGAGAGAGCACAACTTTGTAGTACCCACAGTCAGTGGCCAGACTTCAAACACCTTTTATTGTACAGAAGTAAAGGAATGGAACAAACTGTCTGTACATGTCAAAGCCAGTCATAGCATGAATGAATTCAAGAAGAGAGCCAAAAGGTGCCTAATGAATGTAGCAACAGAAAGGGAGGAGAATGATTTTTTATTATTTTTGGCTAACACACATGTACATATAAATAACTCATTTTACCTTATTCCTAGTATATCTCCTTTATATTATAATAATAAGATACTGTATAATAATAAGATATTGACTTTTTTGTATAATAATAAGATATTGACTTTTTTGGGTTATCCTAGGCTCTCTACACATATGCTGCTATGTATGATAATCTATGTAACTGTATTTGTATATACCTTAATAAACTTACTTACAAGACTAGAAGAGCACTACAGTAGACTAATGGTTCATGCTAGGCAGGTCCTACTCAAATGAAATCTTTCTCACTCATATATTTGTGTAATTTATTTTTAAAGCTACCCATGGTTTTAGGTTCAGTGATCAAAGGCATATCACCCGCCCTCCCTCCCATCTTTGCATACCTATCTCCCTCCTTGCCTCCCTCCCTCTCTCTGCCTCTTTGCTTCTCTCCCTTATTATAGTTATTATTACTGTATATACACCTACCATCCGACTTACGACCGAGTTCGGTTCCGAGAAACCGGTCGTAAGTCGAAATGGTCATAAGTCGAACTTTACTTCTGAATATCAACAAAACATTTTTGTAATGACTTTATTTTATTGTTTTATTTTGGTATTTCATGTTTTACTTTACTTTTTGTGCTGTTAGTACTGTATTTTATACTGTAAGGTTTAGGATAAACACTGTGTACAACACAAATAGTTGTTTATTTCCCAGAAATTTGGCATAAAAAACACAGTCGAGTGGTCGTAAATCGAGCAGGTTGTAAGTCGGATGGTAGGTGTACCTATCAGGTATATACAGTAAGAATAATAATACTCCATGGGGAAATGGAAAAGAATCCTTCCTCCATAAGCCATGCATGTTGTAAGAGCAACTAAAACACCAGGAGTATGGGGGTAGTAACCCTTTCTCCTCTATAAATTACTAAATGAAAAAAAAAAAAAAACACTTTTGTTTTTTTTTTAGGTCACCCTGCCTTGGTGAGAGATGGCTAGTGTGTTGAAAGTAGTACAGTAGTAGTAGTAGTAATAATAATACGAACATGAGTACAGTATTATATACCTGTTAGATATCTTCTGTGTGCGGCTCTTCGAGGTGCTGTCCAATTTTGCCACTCTAGCACGAAGGGGCCCTGGAGAATTTAGTGAGCCTGGTGCCCCACCACGTTCAATACTACTGCTCCGCTGGAAGTCCCGTAGGGCCTAAACGAATATAATTTAAAACATGGTAACAAATGTCACTGAGATTCTGTAAAACATGGGGAATAATACAAAGGATGTAAGAAAGCAGATGTGGACTGCAGAATGTTGGTGGTGAGCACAGCATGCTAAACTCAAGATTTTAAAGGATAAGGACAAAATTATGAATATACTGTAATTATATGGATTTGGAAAAGGCATATGATAGGATGGATAGGGGGGCAATGTGGCAGATGTTGCAAATGTATGGAATAGGATGTAGGTTATTGAAAGCAGTTTAAAGTTTTTATGAGGATAGTGAGGTTCAGGTTAGAGTATGTAGGCGAGAGGGGGATTATTTCCCAGTAAAAGTAGGCTTTAGACAGGGATGTGTGATGTTACCATGGTTGTTCAATATATTTATAGATGGAGTAGTAAGAGAAGTGAATGCTCGGGTGTTGGCAAGAGGTGTGGGATTAAAAGATAAAGAATCTAACACAAACTGGGAGCTGTCACAGTTGCTCTTTGCTGATGACACTGTGCTTTTGGGAGATTCTGAAGAGAAGTTTCAGGGGTTGGTTGATGAGTTTGGTAGGGTATGTAAAAGAAGGAAGCTAAAAGTGAATATAGGAAAGAGTAAGGTGATGAGGATAACAAAAAAATTAGATAATGGAAGATTGGATATCAGATTGGAGGGAGAAAGTATGGGGGACGTGAATGTGTTCAGATATTTGGGAGTGGATGTGCCAGTAGATGGGTCAATGAAGGATGAGGTGAATCATAGAATTGATGAGGGAAAAAAGGTGAGTGGTGCACTGACAAGTCTGTGGAGACAGAGAACTCTATCCATGAAAGCCAAGAGGGGAATGTGTGAGAGTATAGTTATACCAACGCTCTAGTATGGGTGTGATGCATGGGTGTGAATGTTACAAGAAGAAGAAGGCTGGAGGCAGTGGAGATGTCATGTCTGAGGGCAATGTGTGGTGCGAATATAATACAAAGAATCCGTAGTTGGAGATTAGGAGGAGGTGTGGAATTACCAAAACTATTATCCAGAGGGCTGAGGAGGGGTTATTGATTTGGTTTGGACACGTAGAGAGAATGGAACAAAGAAGAATGACTTCGAGAGTATACTATTCTGTAGTGGAGGGAAGGCGAGGTTCAGGTCAGCCTAGGAAAGGTTGGACGTAAGGGGTAAAGGAGGTTTTGTATGTGAGGGGCTTGGACTTCCAGCAAGCGTGCGTGAGTGTTCAACAGAAGCAACTGGAGACAACTGGATTTTAGGACTTGGCGTGCTGTTGGAGTGTAAGCAAGGTAACATTTACGAAGGGATTCAGGGCAACCAGCAGGCCAGACTTGAGTCCTGGAGATGGGGAGTACAGTGTCTGCACTCTGAAGGAGAGGTGTTAATGTTGCAGTTTTATAACTGTAGTGTAGGCATGCCTCTGGCAAGACAGCGATGGAGTGAATGATGTTGAAAGTTTTTCTTTTTTGGGCCACCCTGCCTTGGTGGGAAATGGCTAATGTGTTAATAAAAAAAATAAATATACAAGAATGCAAATCGTATCTATAACGTGTGTGAATGATTTCAAGATTTTATTCTTGTGGTCTGGCCTGAAACCAGAATTAATTTCTGATCATCAGAATACCTATAGAACTACTCAATAATAACCCACATAGAGACAGAAACAAAAGAGGTTGATTGATCTGTATAATTCAACCCCCTGCCGAAAATCCCAGAAGGGGAATGACATATACAAATCAATCAACCTCCTGTGTTTCTGTCTCCATGTAGGTTATTATTAAGCAGTTCTTTAAGTATTCTGGCAATCTTCCCCATAGTATATCTGCTGGTAGAAGGTAAAACAAGTCATGGTGACACTGATTTCTAACTGACTTATGGCACTTCTTTTCAGTGCGTCTATTCTGCACTTCCTCCTGTATCTCTCATTCCAGTAAGCCTCTGTTTCAGCATGTAGATCATAGACTTGGGCCCTGATTATTTTCTACATACTGTATATTATCAGGCATGTACCTCTTCTCTGTTCAGAGTGCATTCAGGTGCTTTGAGGCATTCCTAGAAGTTTAGAGTTGCTCTACTGATTCTGCACAGGCAACAGAAGATCCCTATATATTTTCCAGTTCAGTTATCTTTCCAGCCTTTAAAGGGGCTGTGAGCAGAGAACTACATTCATAACATAAAAGCACATAAAAGTGCTGTGAAGAGCACCATCAATAGCTTCTGATGAATTTGCTTTACTGTGTTCTCTATGTGAGTCATCTGACAAGACCTCCAAGTGCTGCAGATATGTAGCAAAGACGATGTATAGAACCTGACAGTGTGGTGATTGGAAATGTTGTGTTACAGTATCTAACTTCTACAATACGAAATAAACACAATCCAGTTTCATATGTATGGAGCTACACTGTGTGATCCATAATATATTCAACAAATATTGGTTGGAAAGGCGAATGTCATGGCTTTCTCAGAAAGTGATTAGATGTGTTATATGTTAATGTATGAAGCGGGGGTGAAGCCTAGGGGTGTCTTGGGTGGCTGTATATGCTTGTATACCACTCTTACAATTTGAAATAGTGATAACATAGCTTCTTATATACTTAAGTGCTATTATACAGACCATCAATGTGATTTTTTAATTTATTAGGGTTAAGACCTATTAACTGCAGTACAGTATTTAATCAGTACAATTATATTAAGCTCCATAAGCCATGCATGTTGTAAAAGGTGACTAAAATGCCGGGAGCAAGGGACTAGTAATTCCTTCTCCTGTATATAGTATTAAATTTAAAAAGAGAGGCTTTTGTTTTTCTTTTTGGGCCACCCTGCCTTGGTGGGATATGGCCGGTTTGTTGGAAAAAAAAAATTATATTAAGAATACATTAATCTCTAAACTAAAAATAAAAGCAAACTTTCAGTGTATACACACTAAGATAAACAGCTCTGAGTATAGGAGAAGAGAAATATATAGATTAATGACTCAACAGTTTTTGATGTAGTGGCATTGTATATAATAAAAAATTATGATCTCTCTTCAATTTACATGTGTATTTTAATTAAAAATCATATTTTTTTAATTACCCTAAAAGAAAACATACCTTTAAACTCTGTGAAAGGGCATCAGAACGCAATTTTGCATAGACTGTAAGTCGATCCGTATTGTTATGTTTGTCAAGCCAAGTAGCAATGGCCCGCAGATCCTCCCTCACACCAGGAGGCATCAATTCCACTCCACTGATGGTATCCTCACTCACCTCTGGGTACATTTATTAAAATAAAAAAATGAGACCTACTATTTCAAAAATTATTTACACAGTTGAATTTACAGGCTGAGAGTTATCCTACTAGTTCATTTCAAAGCCTAACATCCAGGTACCTTCTTACTGATACGTGACCAGGGGCAACAGATGTAGAGAAACATGCATAATGTTTCCAGTGGTGCTGGAATCAAAGCCTGTCCCTCAGTTGTGAGCTAAGGGCACCACCCCTTGAGCCCCAAGTCTCAATGTTAATGGTATTCAGAGTAAAACAGTGTGATAATACCTATTTTAATCTAAATACCAAGTCACTTACTCCTGTCTAACACAGTCACATTAAATATGCAGTACCTAGACAAAATATTATATGCCAGTAAAAGTGGTTTAGGTGCCAATTACTCAAAATTAGTTTTCAGGTGGATAGCTGCTTACACTATACTGTACATAAAAATGATTGAAATAGGCAGTGTCTACAAGGCTTACTGTACCTTCTTCTTCGAGTAGTTCCAAAGTCACTATTGGAGGTACGGGTTTCTGGTACTTTTTAAGTTCATCTCGAAACTCTTTGCTGAGAAGATCTGTTCCTATTTCAAAAAGGGAAGTCTGGAAACATAAAATCAAAACAGAATATGAGAAATCCAGTAAAAATGCTTTAATTCAATAAAATATTCAATAATTTAAAGTATATATGTATCTAGTAATCTCTCACAAAACCTATTTTTATTTACAGACATTTACAGCATCTCCATGGCTAAGTGGAATAGAATTCTTCCTCCGTAGTAAGAGGTGACTAAAATGCCGGGAGCAAGGCGCTAGTAACCCCTTCTCCTGTATGTATTACTAAATTTAAAAGGAGAAACTTTCGTTTTTCCTTTTGGGCCACCCCACCTCAGAGGGATACAGCTGGTACATTGAAAGAAAGAAAAGATTTACAGTACATAGTAAAACAATTCAGAAAAAAATATTACACAGATATTTCATGACTTGTTTCAGAGAGCATCTACAATTTAATAAGTGGTGAGATTTTCAATAGTGAAAGTACATACATACAAGGCTTCTCTAAAGTTTTGAAGGCTCAAGGCAATAAAAATGAGAAAGGTGTTACATTTTGGCATACATTTTCAGCTTCCACCTTAAACCAATTATTACACAAGCAAAGGAAGCTATCAGAACCATCACAAATTCAAATTTTAGGTAAAAACATTCTGCTCTTATTTAAATCCTTAAACCTACTAAATGCAAATGTCATACATGTTGACTCTTCAAAACATATCACTGTAATGGTAATGTTGACCTAAGACAGTTCCTGAAAAACTATACAGGCAGGCCTCACTTATACAACAGGTTAGGTTCCGGGGCTACTAATGTGAAGTAAAAAATCACTGTACAATGAAACATAACCTTTTTCACTTTCAAATACATGTAAAAGCCTTATAACATGTTTACACTATTGTATATTAACCCTTTGAGGGTCCGTCCCATAGATCTACGGCTTTACGTTCAGGGTCCAAACCGTAGATCTACGTCATGAGCTCAGCTCACTCTGATAAACTGTGAGTGGTACATTTGGGCCTAGATATGAGAGAATACATCTATGTGGTATGTGTGCACCACATAAAACAGATCCTGCAGCACGCTGTGTATAATGAGAGAAAAAAATGAAATCATGATTTTTCGATTAAAACAGCAACTTTGCAGTGTTTTTTCGTATGTTTTTTATAGTTCTATTTGCGATTTATTGGTCTCATTTGATAGAATGGAAGACATATTACAGAAATAGAGATGATTTTGATTGGTTTTAGCACTGGAAATGGCTTGAAACTGAGCTCAAAGTAGCAGAAATGTTAAATTTTTGCCAATATTCAAGAGTAAACAAACGACCTCACACGTCTAATACACGCCAGCTGGTGGGTCTAATATGCATTCACAAATATGGTGATGATATTTATACAATTATTACAGTATTGCATAACAGTAAATCTTCTATTTTTTGGTGTGAATAAAAATTCATTATGTGAATAAAAAATAAAAATGGAATTTATTTGTAAAGCCTCAAAACGTAACTAATGAACAGAGGAAATGTTAGTTTAGTTCCAGGAATACCTACACTGTTTATTCTGGACCCTATTTTGAAATTGGAATATTTTGAACTTTGTGTTAAATTGGCCAAATTAACAATTTCCGATCACTTTAATTTGTAGTTGAAACAGTTGACTTGGTGATTTCTTGTGCTCAATCGATAGAATAGAAGTAATACTAGTGAAATAGCTAAGAATTTGGTTGACTGGAATAATATAATTGGCCTAAAATGGGAGTCAAAGTCGCTGACACATCAAAATTCGCGAGAGCATAATTTCGTCAATTTTCCATCAAATTTCGTACTTTTTGTTTTATTACCTTCACAAAAAGATTCTCTTACCATTTCATAAGAAAAAATAACAAATTTTTTTTTTTGAAAATTCTTGGACACTGGGGCACCACTTCAGATTTGGGCCTTGGACCCTGAAGGGGTTAAGTAAGCAATAGAGTTAGGGCTAAAAAACGCATATACAGTACACACATTACTTACCTTAAAATATTTTCGTACTTAGCTTATAGTGAGTGGTGAATATATTTATTGTAGGCATTTTTTTTTTTTTTTTTCAACAAGTCGGTCGTCTCCCACCGAGGCAGGGTGACCCAAAAAAAGAAAGAAAATCCCCAAAAAGAAAATACTTTCATCATCATTCAACACTTTCACCACATGCACACATTATCACTGCTTTTGCAGAGGTGCTCAGAATACAACAGTTTAGAAGCATATACATATAAAGATACACAACATATCCCTCCAAACTGCCAATATCTCAAACCCCTCCTTTAAAGTGCAGGCATTGTAGGTATATAGTCTGAATAAAAGAATAATGGGTATAATTGAAAACAGCTGTAAAGTGAAGCTAACTGGTGTCCCTGAATCCCTTCACAAAATATTACCCTGCTCACAACCCAACAGCTCGTCAAGTCCCAAAAACCATTTGTCTCCATTCACTCCTACCTAACATGCTCATGCTGTACATATGGCCAAGCCCCTTGCACACAAAACCTCTTTTACCCCCTCCCTCCAACCTTTCCTAGGACGACTCTTACCCCCTCCTCCAGTCCACTACAGATTTATACACCCTCCAAGTCAACCTATTTTGTCCATCCTCTCTAAATGACCAAACCACCTCAACAACCCCTCCTCAGCCCTTTGAATAATACTCTTAGTAACTCCACACCTCCTAATTTCCACACTACGAATTCTCTGCAAAATATTTACACCACACATTGCCCTTAAACACAGCATCTCCACTGCCTCCAGGCTCCTTCTCACTGTAGCATTTACAACCCATACTTCACACCCATGTAAGTGTTGGTACCACTATACTCTCATACATTCCCTTCTTTGTCATCATGGATAACATTTTTTGTCTCCACAGATACCTCAAAGCACCACTCACCTTTTTTCTTTCATCAATTCTATGGTTAACTTCACCCTTCATAAACCTATCCATTGACAGGTCTACTCCCAAATATCTGAACACATTCACTTCATCCATACTCCCTCTCTCCAATGTGATATCCAATTATTCTTTACCTAACTTGTGATACCCTCATCACTTTACTCTTATCTATGTTCACTTTCACATTCACTTTATCTCTATACTAATCTTTTATTGTCATCTCATAAACTACCCATAAATCTCCAACTTATCATTTACAATTTCAGTTTTTAATGAATTTTATCGTAATTTGTACCTTAACTATTATTTTTAACTTCATGGCTAAACTTTATGCCAGACCTAAATTAAAAAAAGAAACTACATATGTAGCCTTCTACTGTTAAGTAGTCTTAGTCCTAGTCTAAGTTTGCTTCAAATGCTGTGCATACAGTAGGCTTTCACACTGTTAAACTCTTATTTTAAATTTATTCTTATATTTCTTTAAATTTTAATTCTGTTACATATTAACAAAATCACACTCGTGCATGGCTTAACAGGGGAGAATTCTAAGCCACTTTCCCACAGGGATATAAATATTTCTACAAACAGAACTAAAAGGAAAAAAACACATTACCACATTCTCAATTTCTACACTCTGAGGGTTATTCTGCTCAAAGAACTTGCAAGTTTCAGCTAAACGATTCATAGCTTCTAAATACTGTGGGACTCCAATGCTGCTTGGTCGCTCTTTAACCACCGCTTCCACCTGACCAGCAACATTGTAGAAACTAATAACATAATCCAACTCCTGAAGAGTCTTCTCTGTATCTGTCAAAAGAAAAATTTCAAAATTTATTAATTATATAAAAAAAATATATAATCAGTACATTTTGAAGTGTTGTAAGTGGTTATTTGAAAGTGACATATTTCATGATTAAGGTACTGTAACCAATGTAGGTTTGTAATAAAGTTGGTAGAATTACCGACAATATGTAAAGTATTACATTATTTTATTAACTTTGTACACTTGTGGTACAGTACTGTGTGGGTGTAAATACCTTATCACCAGTATTATCTTAATAGGTGCATTTTTTTATATACTGTATTAGAGCACTTATAACTCTGCTACTGTAAGATATATTCATAATCCAAGGTTCAGTTAGTATACTGATGCTTTGCATCAATATTTTAACTATCAATTAATAGCAAGTTTTGTAGCACACATAACTGTGGTTATTTTGATTCCATGCATTATTGCATTTAATATATAACATCTAAAAACAATACAATACTGGTAATTCATTATCGACTCAAAATTAAAAACAAAAAAAAATCCTAATTCATCAATTTATACCAAAAAGGTAGAATCCCACCACAGTGCCAGAAGACAATACAGTATGTAAGGAATACACATGTGCAACAGTTATGTATCTTTATTTCCAAAATGTTTTGCCTATACAGTAGGCTTCTTCCAATAAGGAAATATTACTGTTGCATAACATTTCCTGTGTTCATTAGTCGTGTCCCCAGGCCTCTCCTATAATACACTTGCATTTCATTTTGAATTCTTGTTCACATAAAAATATAAGATTTACTCTACTTCATGGATAATTAAATATAACTAGGAAAGACTGGTCATAGTTTACAGTGTCCCAATAGTTGAATCAATTTATTAAAAACCCATAAAACAGATCAGGGGCTGTAGTGGGACCTTTCCTCTCCTCTGCAATATTGGCAAAAATCGTTGTGTAATTTCAGTGCTAAAAATAAGTGAAATTACAGAACACATCTATGATTATAACACATGTCTATAGGAAAAGAGGTTCCAGTTCCTAGGCAATCAACTTATGAACAGATTTCAGGAGCAAATTAATGTCATAAATGGGGGATCATTATACTGTACTACTCTGCTCAAAGCCGAATAACTTTTGAAATTATTACTAATTGTAAAAACAAGAAAATTTTTATAGTTTTCTTCTTTTTCAGGTCACCCTGCCTTGGTGAGAGATGGCTGACATGTTAAAAAAAAGTTCTGAAATAGTTAAATACCATATAATGTATTGTAAATCTTTTTCTAATGTAATAAGTTTACAATCTGCCTGCACAATGCTGCACATGCAACCAATGACCAACCTACTTTACAGGTTCCACTAATAGCCTCAAAAGTAAAGCTTTTCCAGTGTAAGGCTAGATGCTTATTTGGCTTTTATAAGAATATAGCAGCTACAATAATTTTACACAAATAATTAAATATCAGGGAGCAAGGGGCTAGTAACCCCTTCTCCTGTATATATTACTAAATTTAAAGGGAGAAACTTTTGTTTTTCCTTTTGGGTCACCCCACCTCAGTGGGATACGGCTGGTGCGTTGAAAGATGAAAGAATTAAATATCATAATCATGTACAGTGGACCCTCAGTTATCGGCTGTAATCCATTCCTGAAGGTCGGCCGATAACTGAAATGGCTGATAACTGAATTTATATTTCCCATAAGAATTAATAGAAATAAAATTAATTCGTTCCAAACAAAGATATTCACAAAAAAAATAATTCTTTTTACAATTATGTAAGTATTACATACCTTTATTGAAGGCTAATGCTGGTTTCTGGAAGATAGGGAGGAGGAAAGAGGGAGGCGTTAGTGTTTGGAAGGGTAATCCCCCTCCATGAAGACTAGGTAGTAATGCCTTCTTTGGGTTTACTTCCCTTCTCTGTCTTTTAATGCCATTAGAACCAGCTTGAGAGTCACTGGACCCCTGTCTCACAAAATAACTGTCCAGAGTGCTCTGTTTCTGGCATCTCTTTAAGATTTCCCTGAAGTTGGACAGGGTTTTATCACTAAACATGTTGCAGATATGGCTTGTTTCAGCTTTGTCAGGGTGGTGTTTCTCTACAAAAGCTTGCACCCTGGTCCACACTGCACACACCTCTTTAATCTCTGAAGAAGGCACCTCTTTCACTCCCTCTTCCTCCTCCTCCTCCTCTGAAGCAAGTTCCTCAGCTGCAGTCTGTTGCTGTTCAAGTTGAAGCTCTTGCAGCTCTTCAGTGGTAAGCTCTTCCCTGTGGTCCTCCACCAACTCTTCCACATCCTCGCTACTCACCCCCCAACCCCAGGGGTTTCCCCAAAGACACAATAGAGTCCACAGGGTCGGCAGGGTCAGGGTCACAGTGAGTCTCAAACCTTTCAAAATCCCTCTCTTGGACACAATCTGCATACAGTTTTCTCCAAGCAGAGTTCAAAGTCCTGGAAGTCACTCCCTTCCAAGCCTTACCATGGAGCCATGGTTACTTATTTCACAGTTGCACTGCAAGAAAAACCACTAAAAACAATGGTAAACAAGGAAAATGTTTGGATGTATGAGCAGAAGCTTCCCCAGCCACCGAGAGACAGCCAAACTGAAGCACAAGCTGCCCCAGCCGGCGGATGAACGCATCCAAAATGGCTGATAACCGAGCAAACAGCCGATAACCGAGTGCCAAAAACCCCGCCAATAACCGAGTTGGCCGATAACCAAACCGGCCGATAACCGGGAGTCCACTGTATTTGTAACTAGAAATTGAATGGCATATTGTTTGCTGCTAATCAACAATGCTGAGCCATATAACAAATTAAATTATATTTTTTAAATACAGTATAATATATCACAGCATCTTTCATTAAGTGATAATGACACTTTTCATGGCCTTACTTAATTGTCTTCGCTGCAAGTTACCAGTCTGCTGATACAAGGGCAGAATGGTTGTCTCAAGGCGGGCTAGTCGGTGCTCAAAGGAGTCCAAGATGCTACTCACATTGGTTGCCACTTGACCCGATCGTGACAAGACCTCGCGAAGATTTCGCAACTGGCTCATTTCCTGTGTAGTGTATAAAGAGATGAAGAAAGAATTAAATAAGATAGACTGATGAAGGAGTATATAAATCTTGGGTAGATGGAAGATGATTTAGAGCATGTATGGAAGAGTTGAAGGAAAGTGTGAAAAATGTAATGTACTGAGAGATAAAGTATTATTTTGGAATTATTATTATTATTATTATTATTATTATTATTATTATTATTATTATTATTATTATTATTATTATTACTGAGCATTAAACAAGCTGTAACAATAAGAATGTTGGTGCCTGCCTTCACAATGGAAAGTCAGATTTGAAATTGAAGCCTACTATTTGAGTTCATTTGGTTTTCTTAGGTTAAATCTTATAAAGTTATCACAGTTGTATTTTTACAACAGTCTTATAATGTTTAACTCCTAAATTCTAGAGCTTCATGATTCACAAGATTTAATTACCAGGACCATATTTTTATTGAAAGCACCTTGCAAATAAGTTTATTTGTCCACGAGTTTTAGCATGGAATGAAAATCAAGATGAAAATCAACCTTCAGTTTGTATTTTATCTAATATAAAATTATACAGTATTTAACAGGTTTGTTTCAATGAATCTTTTACATTATATGAATGGCATAGTAACAACTGTATTTTTTTTAGAACCAATAACGCACATACATATTCCTAGAAAAAGTTAGTTTATTTAGGCACAGGTACATATAAGTACAATTATCAAAGTGTACATTGCCTAGGAAAGCCCAAAAAAAGTCAGTGACTAATTTCCATTGGGGTCCAGTATGTGAGCGGGTCACCTACCTGTTAGTGACTCTTCCACCTCCACTTACCTCACTATGTTCACAAAGCAATGACAAGCAGCAATATATTTTGCTGAAAATATATAGATATACTAACTACTTCTAAACTCATTTGGTAGAGCATTTGGCTCATGGCCAAAAGGGCAAGGGCTGAATCCTAGGCAGGGTGAGATATATGGGCATAGGCAAGTTTCTATGACTTAGTTCAGTGGACTCTGTCTTAATGGTGCACCTTTGTCTCAGCTGAAGGACCTAGGCTCAATCCTGGAATGGATGGAGACAATAAGCAGGTATCCTCACCCACTGACCCTGTTGAACTAGCAGGAAAAACATCCCCAGGAGTTAGCAAATGATTGTGGGTCACATCCTTAGGGAGAGGACTTAATGACCTGAATGAAATAAGCTACATACGCTACTTGAATTTTTTTGATAATCCTAGTTCACTAATCCTACAGGTTAATAATTCCAAGTGTAATTGAGTATCTCATAGACATTCCTTTTCTGCTAGGCTATGTGCAGCAGGTGGAAAAAGAATAAGTTTATTTAGGCCCGGGTACACATAAGTACAATTATCTTACATAGTGTAAATTACCTGGGTTATCCTAGGTAATTTACACTACATATGATAAGTGTACTTATGTGTACTTATGCCTAAATAAAATTACTTGCTTATTTATTTTTTTCCAACCCACTGCACATTGCCTAACATGAAACGTATATCTAAGAGATAGTTGATTACTGAAGACTACATCCTGAGGGAAGACCTAAGGCTCTCAATGATAATAACTCACTTGGCTTGGCTTTCCTAAGTAATCCTGAGGATAATAGTTCAAATAAAATTTTTCTTCCCATAACCTTGCTCAGTATAATAGTATATTCATGGAGTAAAAGTTTAACCCACAGGAATCATACAGTGCCTGGGAATGCCAAGTAATCAGTTTTGGTCCAAGGAAAAGGAGGATAGCTTCAGTTCCTTGAATCAAGGGCCCATTCCCAAACATTAAGACAGCCTTGAAGAAATAACCATGTAACCCAATTGTATACAAGGACCCAATGGAAAAACAAAGACCCAAATGGAAATACAAGGACCTCAATGGAAACATGGGGACCCCCAAAGGAAAAACAAGAACCCTTATGGAACACCAAGGTCCCCAATGAAAATAAGTCACTTTATCTTACTTTTTTGGGTTATCCTTGGTAATTTACACATATTACTAGGTATGATAATGGTGCTTATGTGTATTTGTACCTAAATAACCTTACTTACATGAAAACCATATTAGGAAGACCCCCCCCCCTCTCAACCAACCGGAAGACGCCTCCGCCCACAATCATCAAAAAATTCTACCGATTTTTCACTCAAATCCATGGCCACGGTGCCTCCTTTAATCACTAGAGAACTGTGGAACGTGTCAATCTTTCGAAGACGAATGTTTAAACACCAGAGATAAATGCAGCAGTGCCATATTCTTTTATTTTCTCCAAAATCACGGTGAAGGGAAGTTGGTGATTAGCAGGTATATTATTCTCATCCCAAGTCCTATCCTTCAAGTTTACCACTTAAAACCACTCCTACCTACCTTTTCTAACTGCCTAGAGACGTCCATTCTCTTTTCTATAGTTTGTTCTATCATCTTATTTTATCTTTCGTTGTTGTTGGTGCTGGAGTCAGAGTTGTTAAGGGCCACCATGCATTTCTTTCCCTTAGTTGGTGGTTTAAAGGGTCAGCACAACTGACGCCGTATCCAGCCTTGATGCCTAGTTTCTGGGAAATTAGTGCTGGGGCGGAAAAAGGGGACGGGAAGAAGAATGCTCTTTTATTAATACTGGTAGAATTACCGACAATATGTTAAGTAAAAGTACACAAACGCATCTAATGTGATATTTTATTGTGGCAACGTTTCGTTCTCCAGGAGCTTTATCAAGCCGTTACAAACAATACACGGACACAGCCTCTGTGTCCGTGTATTGTTTGTAACGGCTTGATAAAGCTCCTAGAGAGCGAAACGTTGCCACAATAAAATGTAACTGTGGGAACTTATTCGGTCCCAAGTCCCACAAGGTAAATAAGCCGTACGAAACCCCTAATTTCCACAGATAGGCCGTCTGAGTTTTGCGAGCTTCACATCTACTCAAAACACATACTCACACCCGGGTTGGTGGGGAGAGCTCGGCCAGCATTGGTGGCGTGCAGACGTGTCTTTCGAAGGCTCCTCAGTTGTTTGTTGGTGGTGTAGGCCCTGTTTAGGCTCTGCTTTACCGTCTTTCTTTTCTGTCTGACTTTTTTTGGGTTATCCTAGGTTCTCTACACATATGCTGCTATGTATGATAATTCTATGTAACTGTATTTGTGTATACCTGAATAAATTTACTTACTTACTTAATCAGGCGGTGTTGTGTGGCCCATTTCTGGGGTTCGACTGATACGTCGTTCTCCCCTAAATGGGGGCGAACGACATCTCAGTCGAATGGTAGATAAGGAGCATAGTCTTGTCAAGACTATGCTCCTTAAAAAAAAAACCATACCACGGGCGGGATTTGAACCCGCGGTCAGAGAGTCTCAAAACTCCAGACCGTCGCGTTTTGAGACTCTCTGACCGCGGGTTCAAATCCCGCCCGTGGTATGGTTTGTTTGCAATCGTGTCATTACGATTTCGTGAGTCATGTTAACTATGCTCCTTATCCACCTCGAATTACTCCAGACGTGATGGTGGTTCTTGTGCGTCCTAAGGATGGTGGTACACCCTTCACCAATCCACGGGAAGTCACCAATGCCATCTGTGGATCTCCTTTTGGCAAGGCCTGCATAAATGGGGGTGGATGGCAACTTGGTAGGGGTGCAGCCCTAAGGCTCCGACTCTATCTTAAGTCTTTTCTGGCCAGAAATTTACCACTTAATGCCATTCATGTCCTGGGTAGGTGGAATGTTGTCTGCTGCCGGTTGTTGTTACGGCAGAATTGGACCAATTTCCTCGTCCCTCTCAGATGAGGAGATCCACTCTGAGTTGGTTTTAAGCGGGGGTGACGACTTAGGTTTGCGGGAGGTTTGGATTATTATTATTATAATCAAGGGGGAAGCGCTAAACCCGGAGGATTATACAGCGCCTGGGGGGGGGGATGTGGAAGGCATTCAGGCTTAATTCGGGGAACTGGAGCACAGATCCAATTCCCTAAATCAAGAGCCCCTCACCAACATCAAGGAACCTTACCTGAGGGGGGGAGGTTTGGAGCCTCTCGACTCGTATGGTTCGTGTATTTTTCTCGGGTGCTCTCCCGAGATTTGTGACTTTTGGCAGTCTAACGTTTCCTGTTCTTCCTTATACTTTTCCTTTACTCCGGTGTCGGAAATGTTTCCTTTTTGGGCATGGAGAGCTGTCTTGCCGTCTTGCAGGTTTCACCCAGTCGTTAAAGACGGAGTTACCTGTACCCGCCCAGCCTCATGCTACTTCTGTAAAGGGAACCACAAGGTAACGTCCCTATCTTGTCCAGCATATCGCCAGGCTCATGATTTGGCAAACTCAGCTAGGGCCCAGTCTCTTTCACTCGATGAATTTAACTCCAGCTTGAGGTCCGTGAAGCCAGTCGCAGTCCGTCAGCCTTTGCCTCCTCCGCCTCCAGTGCCCCCCAATAAGAGCATCTCCCCAGCACCAGTACAGCTAGAGCACCTGTTCTCTGCAGCTGTGAGGGCTAATGTCCCTGTTTCATTATTATTATTATAATCAAAAAGAAGCGCTAAGCCACAAGGGCTATACAGCGTCCCTGTTTCAAATCGGTTTGCTGCTCTTCCTTCAGAGGATTCCCCATCCCTGGGACAGCATCATCTCAGGGTGTCTTCAGGCCCAGCTTCCATTGCGGAAGTTAATGCTCATGCTCCTCCCCGTTCACGATGCATATCCTCCCATCAAGGTGGCATGGATTCAAAATCGACTCGAAGTTCGGTACCCCACCCAGTTCAAGTGGACCTCTTGCCCGACCCAGAGCCTCACACCTTGCAGAAGTGTCCCCCCTCCAATTCTCCTCAACTCCAGCCCCAGCCTGTCCCTATTTCAGGACCCTTCGCTACTGAGGGTTCCGCTTTTTCACTCCCGCCTGCCTGGGCTTCATTTCTGGTTATTAAACAGAGGGACATGGTTATTAAACAAAGAGAAACTGAAGCAAAATAAGTCCCCAGGACCCGATGAGTTGTTTTCCAGGGTACTTAAGGAATGCAAGATGGAGCTTAGTCAGCCATTATTATTATAATAAAAAAGAAGCGCTAAGCTAGTCAGCCATTAACGAACGTGTTTAATGTGTCCATCCTTACCAGTGTTGTGCCAGAGTTGTGGAAGATGGCTAATGTGGTTCCTATATTCAAATCAGGGGACAAGTCCACTCCTTCAAATTACTATCCAATAAGCCTGACATCTATAGTGGGCAAGTTTTTTTTTTTTTTTTTTTTTCAACAAGTCGGCCGTCTCCCACCGAGGCAGGGTGACCCAAAAAAGAAAGAAAATCCCCAAAAAGAAAATACTTTCACCATCATTCAACACTTTCACCACACTCGCACATTATCACTGTTTTTGCAGAGGTGCTCAGAATACAACAGTCTAGAAGCATACACATATAAAGATACACAACATATCCCTCCAAACTGCCAATATCCCAAACCCCTCCTTTAAAGTGCAGGCATTGTACTTCCCATTTCCAGGACTCAAGTCCGACTATATGAAAATAACCGGTTTCCCTGAATCCCTTCACTAAATATTACCCTGCTCACACTCCAACAGATCGTCAGGTCCCAAGTACCATTCGTCTCCATTCACTCCTATCTAACACGCTCACGCACGCTTGCTGGAAGTCCAAGCCCCTTACCCACAAAACCTCCTTTACCCCTCTCTCCAACCCTTTCGAGGACGACCCCTACCCTGCCTTCCTTCCCCTATAGATTTATATGCTTTCCATGTCATTCTACTTTGATCCATTCTCTCTAAATGACCAAACCACCTCAACAACCCCTCCTCTGCCCTCTGACTAATACTTTTATTAACTCCACACCTTCTCCTAATTTCCACACTCCGAATTTTCTGCATAATATTTACACCACACATTGCCCTTAAACAGGACATCTCCACTGCCTCCAACCGCCCTCCTCGCTGCTGCATTTACCACCCAAGCTTCACACCCATATAAGAGTGTTGGTACTACTATACTTTCATACATACCCTTCTTTGCCTCCATAGATAACGTTTTTTGACTCCACATATACCTCAACGCACCACTCACCTTTTTTCCCTCATCAATTCTATGATTAACCTCATCCTTCATAAATCCATCCGCCGACACTCAACTCCCAAGTATCTGAAAACATTCACTTCTTCCATACTCCTCCTCCCCAATTTGATATCCAATTTTTTTCTTTATCCAAATCATTTGACACCCTCATCACCTTACTCTTTTCTATGTTCACTTTCAACTTTCTACCTTTACACACATTCCCAAACTCATCCACTAACCTTTGCAATTTTTCTTTAGAATCTCCCATAAGCACAGTATCATCAGCAAAAAGTAACTGTGTCAATTCCCATTTTGAATTTGATTCCCCATAATTTAATCCCACCCCTCTCCCAAACACCCTAGCATTTACTTCCTTTACAACCCCATCTATAAATATATTAAACAACCATGGTGACATTACACATCCCTGTCTAAGACCTACTTTTACCGGGAAGTAGTCTCCCTCTCTTCTACACACCCTAACCTGAGCCTCACTATCCTCATAAAAACTCTTTACAGCATTTAATAACTTACCACCTATTCCATATACTTGCAACATCTGCCACATTGCTCCTCTATCCACTCTATCATATGCCTTTTCTAAATCCATAAATGCAATAAAAACTTCCCTATCTTTATCTAAATACTGTTCACATATATGCTTCAATGTAAACACCTGATCTACACATCCCCTACCCACTCTAAAACCTCCTTGCTCATCCGCAATCCTACATTCTGTCTTACCTCTAATTCTTTCAATTATAACCCTACCGTACACTTTTCCTGGTATACTCAGTAAGCTTATTCCTCTATAATTTTTACAGTCTCTTTTGTCCCCTTTCCCTTTATATAAAGGGACTATACATGCTCTCTGCCAATCCCTAGGTACCTTCCCCTCTTTCATACATTTATTAAACAAAAGTACCAACCACTCCAACACTATATCCCCCCCTGCTTTTAACATTTCTGTCATGATCCATCAGTTCCAGCTGCTTTACCGTACCCCTTTCATTTTACGTAATGCCTCACGTACCTCCCCCACACTTACATTCTGCTCTTCTTCACTCCTAAAAGATGGTATACCTCTCTGACCAGTGCATGAAATTACTGCCTCTGTTTTCTTCCTTAACATTTAAAAGTTCCTCAAAATATTCTCGCCATCTACCCAATACCTCCATCTCCCCATCTACTAACTCCCCTACTCTGTTTTTAACTGACAATCCATATTTTCCCTAGGCTTTCTTAACTTGTTTAACTCGCTCCAAAATTTTTTCTTGTTTTCATTAAAATTTCTTGACAGTGCCTCTCCCACTCTATCATCTGCTCTCCTTTTGCACTCTCTCACCACTCTCTTTACCTTTCTTTACTCTCCATATACTCTGCTCTTCTTATAACACTTCTGCTTTGTAAAAACCTCTCATAAGCTACCTTTTTCTCTTTTATCACACCCTTTACTTCATCATTCCACCAATCA